TTATTACTTCCAGCAACACATTTTTTTTTGTCTAAAACTTAGTCATTGCATTCAAACTCCCATAAAAATGTTCCTCAGGCCAACTATGTAATGCTATATCCCAGAATAGTCAAAAGATCCAAAGTCATCACATTTGAAATCTAAAGTTTTGCAAGAACCCTCTAAGATAAGCCACATAAATGGAGAGTGAAATTGCAGTAATAAGCTTCCTTTTTCTTACACCTACCACCTCAAATACCGATCTTGCCTATATTCAATCCACGAGCGTTTCCCTTTGTTACTGAAAATTACTTACTTCTCTAGTACTTAATAAGAACATGAGGCAACCTGGCTCCAGTGCCATCACAGGTTTTCCAGATCTTGAATTGCAAAATAAACTACAATCATAAATATGGTTTAAACTTATTTAAATGAGTGCAGCAAAACTAGAACTTTAAGGAAAGGTTAATGAGAAGCAGCTTCAGTTGAGTGTCCCTTGGATTGTTACCCATGTGGCTTGCAGGCAAAGAGCTGTCTGATATGGAAAAATCTGTTGAAGGAGGAGGATGAATTCTTGCCTCAGGATGCTTGAGATACTGAAATAGACTACAAAACTATTTGAAAAAAAATAAAAATCTTCAAAGTCTTTCAAAAAGTTCTGACAGGCTTGGAAGGGAAATAGGGAACTTTAAAGTGCTTCTTTTAACTCTTTGTTTCATGGAATAAATGATCACCTGGATCTCATTTTAGAAATACCATTGCTTTTAACACATAAACATGTAATTTGTATCTCTTGATTAGCCAAAAAAAAAAAAAAAAAAAATCAGATTCCCTAAAACACCTTTGATTTGAAAGCATCATGTATTCTTATCTCAGAAAGCATCTCTTAAGTCTAAAATATTCCAAAGGTAGCAACAATATAAAAAGCAGAACAAAATAAAATAACTGTGACCTATATGTGCAAAATAGTCCTAAAAGCAACTGGGATATATTGAATCAATCTTGACAACAATTTCAAATCAAATAACTCCAAATCTATTAGAGCATTTATTCCATGGTTATTATATTAATCAGTTCTGTTAGCAATTACAAACAATTCTAATATGGACCCAAAGTTACAAACTTTTAAATTGGTTAAAAAATACTGACATAATTTAATGCTGTTGACACAGTGTCAGCCAAACAATACGCAACTCATTTGTATTTGTGCCAGAAACCCTATGTTATGTTGGAAAGTAGGTGAAAAACAAAACCTGACTTGCAAATAATTAATGCCACAAAGAAAATGTGAGTATTAGCTCTATGAGACAATTTTGAAATCCTAGTTCTTCAGGAAAGCAAGTTTCAATAATATATTTTGAAGAGGATAAGACGTTGTGATAAACAAGTCCTCTGCAGAAATACAGCATCAAGATCTTTTTTCCCCCCCCCAGTGAAACACAAAAACAGTGGAAATTTTCATCCTTCCATGTTCTTTATTCATGAGCAGTTTGTTTAAAAATTTTCTATTCTACATCTGGCCATATGTATTGTGATGTCAATTCTCAAAGCCACATACTAGATTTACTTGTGATTTCTTATCATACTCAAATGGTGTGAGAAGCCCATTATGTTCAGTGTCACTTATGTTTTTGCCAAATAAAATAACATCTCAATCCCAAAAATGTATCATTTCCTTTTTGGAAAATATTATCACGACTAGCAAACATAAAGAAATATGGCACAGTAAGAAAAATTTCATCCTCATGTCAATATTCTTTCCATAATTCAGACAAACTCTCTATTTCTCATGTGAACATTCTGTACTCTATACATAAATAACTCAATATAGTAACTTTAGTAATAGTTACATAAAAGCAGGCCTCTCAAAAGAAGTAAAAGCACTGAAGATCAAATTCTCAGCTGACATAAATTACCTCGGAAAAGACAGCAACATAAAGGTAAGGTTTTAAATATTACAAAGCCATGCTTCCTGAATTCTGCTTCTCTTCCCCCCACAAAAAAACCCCAACAAAACAGCACCACAAAAACATGTACAGTATATTATGAGTTATTTTGTGCCTTATAAATGAAGGTAGCAAAACTCTTCTCAACAACCATTTAAGGGACAGCCTTATCCCTGATTAGCAGATGTTGGGCTTTCCAAATTTTTTCTCAGCATTCTAAAAATCTAGGAAATTTTTCCAAAGTCCGAAGCCCTGAATGCAAACAAGGGGCAAGTATGAATCTAGGTATCTTTTTACTCAGGTTTATTAATTTTACTGTCGAGCTTCACTGGGAGTTGTCTTTATACACAATCTATTAAAAGACACTTGCTTAGGAAAAAATTACCCTATGAATAGGATCAACTAGAAAGTTAAAGGGCTACATGTCTTCCATTATCGGGTGAGAGCAAGCTGCACTTGTAAAATACATTCATTTATTTTGATCTAGCTTTATTGATTTGCCTACATGTTTTAAACTAACTCCCTCCATCTCAGACTCTTCAAGGATTCTGTAATTGAATCCTCTATCTCCTACTGTGCACGCACTTCTAGTTTTTATTACAGTGGTCTTTCCACATTCATTCGACAGCAAGTCACACTTCAGCTAGAGGACCACTTTCTGACCTACTACAACTTACATTTAAGAAAAAATACTTTTATGAGGAAGAGAGCATTATCCACAAGCCTACAGAATGCAGTTTATTACTTACTACAGCATTCTGTGAGCAGTTTCACACTTCGGAAGAACAGTATAAGTCTGTTCACGGCTAACCACTACCTTTTTAAGTAAATACCATGACATGCACAAACAGTCTAGCTGGCAGTTTCACAATGAGATACCACAAATGAAGTACTTTTCTTCTTTCAAGTACTTCCTGCTTAACGAGTATTTCAACTTATGAGAAGTACAGGTTTGTGAGACTGTGGGTCAGTTATTTCTCATTCTTGCATTTCACAATTGGGTAAAAAAAATAAACCAACCTGTAAAAAAACAACCACCACACACACACAAAAAAACTACACACAAAACCAACCACCTTCCTGTTAACATACATAATGCTTTGCCCTTTTTTGTTTCACAGTGAACACAATGCTTGATGAAAAAATGGAAGTACCAACAACTTACATCCTCATATATTATCAGAATAATAAAATAATGACAAGGGTTATCACTCCCTGCCCCCACATCCACACACTTTCCCCCTCCCCTTGATGTGTTTTGGGTGAACCAAAAGGAAGCCCCTCTCATCATAACCAGTCAAACTGGTCTTGATACTCACAAAGCCTTTGCAGCTAATAAGAAATTTACCTGAAAACAAGGAACAGTTTCTCACATATGCAGCATCAAGAACATAAGCAACATCAGAGTTGCCTAAAGTCCCAAAAAGGATAAAAATTGTACCCCCCTTTACTTTTACATTCTGACCTGCCACCTTCTTTTACTACCTGTATATATTTACACTGATATCTACTTTTACTTCTACAGAAAACTCAACACAACCATGCACTAAGCTTGGTTAGGACCTCTGGGTTGTATCTACTGCCAACTGAAGTAATTATTGCAAACATGTATTTCATTAATTATTTTAACAGCATACAAGTTTTCAGTATACATCCCTAATATAGCTTAGAAATACAACATTTTCTTTTGGGATCTTGCACAAAATAATTTTTCAATACCATGAGATGCCCAGACTTGGCTTATGTGCTTGGGGTTAAGTCTTTATACACTGTGATTTGGAAGAAACAGTAAAGTGCTGAGGGGTTTTGGATTCTTTACTTAATAGACAAAATCAACTTATTTCTGATCTAAACATAGATTTGGAAATCAGGCTTAGAAAAAACACAGTTAAAGTACTGGCCAAATTTTTATATAGTACGGTAGAACAGAAACCAGCATTTACAATACATTTAAAAATAAATTAAATATTAAATTAAATTTATTACATTTACTGTGCATAAAAAACAAAGTGAGTTTCAATTGAAAAATTATCTACTTTGTCTCAACTGCTATGAACAACAGTAGAAGAAAATTTATTTATTTACATGGGGGTAACCTGTTTGAAAGTTTCTATTGCATTACTCAAATCCAGTTTAAAACCCTATCAGTTTTAGTGACTATTTACTTAGCATGCTAGGTAGAATTCAATAGTAAAATACTGAAAATTCAAGTCATATAACAACAATTAGGGTCTACTAGCAATATAATTATAAAAATGTATCATTTAGAACATCAGAGGTAAACATGCAGATGTATCCAACTGAAAAGCAAAATTAATTCTCATACCAGAAAAATTCCTTTTTGTCCTATATAACTGTTGCACCTGAGCTAGAAGCACAACCATTTGGAGTTTCCCTAAATCAGAAAATGGCATCAGCATTACTGTGATCTTGAGTGGAAGTAAGGAGTTACCACCCACTAACTTCTCGGCCAGTATGTATAACACCTTTTAGGGGAAACCCTACTGTGTGGTGGAAGAGATAATCAATATTCACAACAACAATGAAAACAACAAACATTGTGATAAATGCCTTTTTTCTCTGTAGAACCACAGCCATTAGGCAACATGCTGTCTTGCCATCCAGGGTAAGCAAAGCAAATAACCCCTACAGATCAGGAAACACTGCCACAAAAGGAAAGACTCACTCCTATACAGCTACCACACTTTGCTAATTATTCTTTTCATCAGAATAAATCCATCAGCTGCTGCTTTTGGAGACATCCATGCTTATTATATTAGCATCATATAGTCAGAAGTTACTGCTCTAGGTAAGAAGAAAAGTTAGGGAAAGTGGAAAACTGTGGGATAAAATATGGTTAAATATCAAGGACAAGCATTTATTCCCAGTTTGTTCATCAGCTGTTGATGACCTGAGCAAAGTCCCAAACAGGATGAATTTTAAAACAGATTTAAAACCCCTTACCTGTTTTACAAGGATACACTGGAAAGTGACATTTTCCTATGAAACAGTTAAGTAGCTTCACCAGAAGAAGGCACTGTTAAATCCATAACACAAATACATAAAACATCTTACCCTCTCCAGGACTGACGGCAGGTGGTAGATTGGCCCAGTCTATGGTCCAGCTGGGGCATGGATGAGGAGAAAACTTTGCTTCAATACCATTTTCCTGTGTGAAATAGAGTGTGAAAATTAAGAACCTGATCCTTTACCAATGGAATTTGGTAGCAAAATTCCCACTGGATCTAATGGCTACAAATCAACCTGTGAAACATTCAGCCTAACTGAAACTACACAGGCAGATGACCCTACATTATGGGATTCAAATTAAGTATTTATCTTATTTTCACAAAAAACCTGTTAATTTTCTTTAGGAAACACCATCAGCCTTTATGAAAAAAAAACAACAGAGAGTTATGGAACATGATGGACAGTTTTCTTTAACAAAGGGTTCCTAGATGTTCAAAGCTCTAATCAAACAGTGAAAAAAACAACAGAAATCATAGAATAATAAAGCAAAACATAAAAGCAATGGGGTTTGGTCATTATTTATATGAATATGCTTAAAAGAGGAAGACAACATTGTAATTCAAACAAAATTTACTTTGATTATTCAGAATTATTGATAGGGCTTCTAGCAATTCTATCTTTGCTCAATTCCTGAATTGGGCAAATAAAAGAACAAAAACCTAAAACCACTTCCAAGTCAGTATGTATCAGACAGAAGATGGGCAAAATGTATGAAACTGTTCAAGGTGTCAGATTTTGCTTCTACCATTCAAATACATTTCAGCTATTCCAAATCAAGCAGAATATTACTATTAAAATTAACTCATTGAAAATTTTAAATTACCATTAACTTAGTCATAGTTGGCCTTGGACCACCTATAAAATTACTGTCTTCATTCTCCTCTTCTAGTTCATCAGGAACTGAAGAGAGGTCTTGGGGCTGTTCCTCTGGAGCAGACATCAACTCTGGAAGCTGAAGAAACTCCATGTTGCATTTGCCAGCAGCTTTCTTTACACCAGGTACTTCTTGAACTCTTTGATACCAACTGGATATCAGAGGCAAATTTACCAGAATTTTGCCTTTTTTTTTGCTGGAAACCTAGAAAAATAAATAGAAAGGTTACTTGCAACTGTAAATTTATACCTACAAGAAGGCAAAAACTACAGAAGTGAGCTCAGCCCCATGCCAAGCATGCTTACTCATAGCATGATGCTAATGCAAAATGCTAGCTAATGAACAGCTTGGGCTTTCAGGTAGAATTGCCAGTTGGCCTTTTAGATTTGATCTGCAGCTATGATTTGCATAATAGGATGAAAAGATTTACATGATCAATTTTAATCCTAATTTCAGTCAGTAACAGGAAAACACAATTTACATAATATTCTTAGTTATCTGCTATATCCTAATAAGGGAATGATTAATTTTGGTTGGCAGTCACAATAGCAAGCAAACAACCAACCCAAACCAAAACCCCAGTAATTTTTAATGAATAGCAGACTCTTAAGCAAGACATCATAGTATCCAAATGCGCTTCCTTTCCACGGACACCCTGAAACCCTTAAAAGCTCATCCACAGACAGCTGTTTTGCCAGCAACGGCAAGCCTGAAGTACCTTTGACTATGTGATAGCAGCAAAACAGGAACATGTTGTCCCTAGTCTTTACTCAAGTCTTTGCACTAGACCTGAGATTTTTTTTAAAGTAGCACTGAATGAAAAACTATTTTTTTAATAATGTATTTAGTCAAAACATTTTTACCATTTTAACTTCCTTTTTTTACACAAAACATGGCAATTAATGTAGTATTTCTTTTCTGAATTAAGTATATATGATGGTGAGTTTAAGTGGCCTTCAATAGCCATTAGAATTTTAAAATAAATTATTATTTAAACAATAAATTCTTAAGCACATCGTACAAAAAAGATACCAAATCACATTTTACATGAAAACCAGCTGATTTTAAAAAGCTGAACTGAAGTAATTTTTGTTTGGGTTCCCAAAAGGTTTATAATAGTGAAGATCATCCTCTTACAAGAGCAGCTGTGAAGTTTCCACCTGATGACATTCAAAACCTGACTGGGCACAATCCTGGACAACCCTGCTCTAAGCAGGGAGGTTAGACAATCTCCAGAGGTGCCCTCCAACCTCCACTATTCCAGCCTCACCTATTCTGTGATGCTGTGCCCGTCCAAAGCAGAAAATTCAAAATCTTGATTATGATGTTGAAAAAGACAGGTCAGCATAACCACCAGGGGTGTTTACTGAGCTTATCTTGGTGTGAAAAGAGTTGAACGCTAACTATTCTTTAACCATTCTGTCTTTAGCCTTGAGCAGTAAGTAAAACAGAAAATAGAAAATAATACAAAACCATGACTAAACTTACTGTGAACTTACTTCATTAACATACTAACATAACATACCCTCTCTTAGACTGGAAGGACCCTCTGTTCACAGAAGGCCCCACCCTCTGAGCGTGCTAAGTGAAAAAGAGAAGTGCTGCCACTTTAAGTGGAAGCCAAGAACTAGTTAACCAAACAGGTAGACAAATTATAGTGGTATACTTAGAAATCAGGTAATTTTGCTTTTTGGGTGTACAAAAGAAACCCTGTGTTATGGGGAAAGTGGGCGAGGTTTGAGGATTTACTACCCAGCACCCCTTCCAGTGCAGAACTGGAATAAATACCTTGACAATGTGTGCAGACTGGATTAATGTACACCAGGTAAATGGACCCCCTTTTGGGACAACAACTACAAGAAAGGGTCCTGAAAAGAGTGCTCTTCCATATATCTGTCCTCAGTATGGAAACAGGAATTGGTAAAGAACACTTGAAATGACAAAAATTCAAGCCACTTTCATGCATGCTGTGTTAATAATGTTCTTAGGTTAATCAAAAGTATAATTATAACAGCTAAAGGAGCAAAAGGAGGATGAACTGCGGATTTTTAGTATCTAATTCAATATCCTAATAGTAACACAGTCAGAAAGACATTAATTCAGTTAAGAAAAAAGTATTTTGAAAGCAATTCTAAGAGGCACTGTTATATCTGATAACAAGTGTTCTAAATTGTATTTTTAGAAGTGAATTGTGGTTTCTCCCAGACGGAGAACAGAGCTTCTGTTATTCTTCTATTAATTTTAAACAGTTACAACTAATAGGAATTGTAACAAAGCTAACCTCAGAAAGATAACAGAAATTTAATGAGCTAACGAAAAACACCTCTTCAGCTTCATTATCTTATTTTGCTAATTACAGTTACAATCACCTAGTCAGGTCTCCTTGTATTTATTGTATGATACTTTCCAGACACACACCCATGGAAGACTTCATTATTATTCACACCCTAAAGCAAAGTGGAAGTGCAATTCTAATTATTTTTCAAACATGATCCAGGAAGTCCAGTTATATATGTGATAAATAGCATTTTAATACAGAATTAAACTCTGGCACTTCCATCAACAAAAGCAGTTTCAACTCACTGCCTGCAAAAAGCTTTCAGATGCAAGCCATTAGTTTTGGGTAACTGTAGGAATCAAGGTATAATTGCTTAGAAAAGTGATCATTCACCAGAAAACAGAAATAAAGCAACGTTATCCCAGAGCTCCTTTTAATTTTGGTAAAAATTAAAAAGAAAGCCAGTTTTATAGGACAATCCTTGGTGTGAACTAACAAAAATGTATTATGTGTCATTCATAACCTGCAGACCACTAGGGCTCAAGGATCACACATGCAAAGCAAATAAATACAGCATTCTCAGCTGCTCACAGTACACATACAGAACAATTTCAATATGATTGCCGAAATTAATTATCCATCTGATCCAAGAATCCTCAAATGCCTTGCACCAGAAAATCGAACATTACTGTACAAAGTTATCCTCTTATTTAAAAAGGCCTTGGAAAAATATGTAAGACTGAAATACATTAAAGCTTTTAAAACAATAGGAAAGTATTTTCTCTTACTACATTTTTTTAGCATCATCCATACAGAACCTGCTGTTAATTCCCAATCGCATAATTTGCAAAACAAACAAAGCAGAGATTAATTAATAACAATTTCTGTAAACCAACTCTTCTTTTTAATTCAAAGGTAGTAATTTTAACCTACTTCTGGACTCCCATATTGCTGTCAACATACAGAAATCCACTGAGAATTATTATCTTGGTTAAAGAAGTTATAAATGGACATATATCACATATTAGTGCTAGCTCACAATTATCTTGATTTTAGAGATTGTTTCTCTGAATATGACTGACAGCATCTTCTCCAGGAATTTGTTTTCAAATGCCATATAGCAAATTTGGAAAAACAACTTTCAAAATCATAATGCAAATACCAACTTCACTCAGAGCTCTTCCTGGCAACAGACACTGATTTAGCTATCAATCTCACAGCCTAATTGCAGGAATACTGGTAACAGACAACTTTGTTGTATCATTTTACTGTCATGGATAATACAGACACAGTTATTGTTTCCTTAGTTCTTTTCTGTGTATACATCCTCAAAAAACTTAGTACACAGACTGTACAACGCCACAGAAGTTTTTCCCACTGGAGAATTGGTTTTGAAGCTGAGCTGAAGTCACTTGCACTACTAAGCCCTACCTCTTTCCACATATGAAAAAAACAGTTGAGGGAGAAAAGCAGGTTTGAGGAGGGGATTAAAAAAAAAAAAAAAGGAAATAAAGAACAAACTGCATGGCTTTATTAGGTGCCAAACATTTTTATGTATTTTCCTAATCCAGATGTTGTATTTTTTACAACAGAATCTGCAAAACAATGACACTTAATAAGTAAGTCCTATACAAAAAACTACCACCAACACACACACGCATACAGGATCTCCTTCTCAGGCCTACATCAGTTGAGTTGACACAGGCAATAGCCTGGCAAACTGCATTCTGAAGTGCAGGTACCTCTAAAATCAGCTTTGCCACTTGCAACAGCATTTCTGCAACAACACTGTATTCTGGGGAACAAAGATTTATTCCTCAGTTTTCCACATTCTACATGGTGCCCTAACTGCCAGCTGTGTCAGTGCTTTTCCTGTTATATTTTGATGACACTCTGAAGGTTTCAAATTCCTCCATAAAAAGACTGAGGGACCTTCTCAGATCTCTAAACATATCACAAGATACAAATTAGTCCTATCACTGGAATGAAATTTTGCATAGTGTCCATATTACTTTGCTAGCACACACAGTTTATGTATCTTTGTGCTTGTGCTGTGAAAACCTCCTGATATGAATGAAAAAGACAAGGCAATTGAGAACAGCCCACTGGTGTTTGTCCAGTATCGGGAACATGCTAGGTTGACTGCAAAGAAGAAAAGAGACAAAGATTTGTTTGAATAAATCACACTTTTGGCATTTCCAAAAATTACACACTGAGAGGAAAACATGCAACTCCGCAAAAGGCAAGTGTGGACTTACCTACTTTACGCTTTATGCATATTAGAATGTATTTTAAGTGTCCATTTTAAGTATCTTCCTGGAGGAATTTTCTGGGCAACTTGGTGCCCAAAATATTTCAGCGTAATATTTTAACAATTAACAGCGTTTACTAAGTATTAATATGCTATGTATTTAGAAGGAATTTTGGTGATCTCACCAATCCCTGTTTTTTGATTGTACAAAAACAAAGACAAATTTTATATTTAAGGTTAAGTTCACATTGCAAACAGCACAATATATTTTAAATTAACATATTTAACAATGTTTCAGTTCTTAAAAAAAAATAATACATACACACTACTTAGTATTTGCAGAACTTGCCATCTTACCAAGAACTGATGGATGCATGGCAAAAGCACTACATCTGTCAAGGTAAAATAAAGGCCTTCTGCAAAAACGTGGTCCAGCAGTGGAAGATCAGAGGTTTTTGTTCTCCTGATGCAAGGAGATTCCCTGTTGACTGCATCTGGGACTTCCTGGACAAGTAGCTTGGAGAAAGCTACGCTCAGTTCCAAACTTGGGAGTGGGTGTTCATGCATCTCCACTGTTCTTCCTTCCTCTGTTGCTTCTTTACCAAGCACAGGCACTGCAGCCTTGGCACCTGCTTTCTGTTGTTGAAGTTTTTGCCTTCGAATTTTGTCATCATTATGTACTCGGACAGGTTCTCCAAGCTTCCTTTCCAGTTGTAGAATGTGAGGAGGAACAGCCTGACAGTCCTCAGGAGACGCCGTCAAAAATCCTTCAACAGCCCGAGGTATGCTGATCTCACAAAGTCTGGTCCACTGGCTAACCTGTCAGATAAATTTATGCAATTAATGTCTGTACAGAAAGTGAAACAAAACCCAGGGTACCTTTTTGTACACATTTAAGCAAAGAAATTCCATCCAAAGATGGTAACTCCAGCTTTTAATACATTCTTTGATAACTCCAGAAGCTCAGGTATTTTGTATTATTTTTGCAATAGCAGAATTTGGAAGCTAAATCTTATACATAACAATGAACAGTTATCCAGTATAGCATATTTTTATTCCTTATTATTGGCACAAGATTAGGGTGGCTGCATAATTCATGAGAAGCAAAGCTGTGATCAATTTATGTATGTCACCTCTACCAAGTGATGGCAATAAAACCAGAACCAAACAGATTTTGAGCATATTTTTTTACAGTGTTTTTCTAGCATCCAACATAAAGAAACTTTCGTCTAACAAGCAACACCTTTAAAAAAGTGGGTTTTTTACAAATTATTATTTTTGTGCTCTTTTTCTTATTATCTGTACTTAAACATTTTCAAACTTTTAAACTCTTGTCCTTTCTTACTCAGTTGACTCACTTTGCAGCCATCTGAAACATAGAATCAAGTTTTCCAGCAGTTCCAAGAAGAGATTAGAACAAGAGGTTTCTGAAAGACATCAGGGACAATTCCTTTATGCTAGGGCTAGATGGACTAACACAAGGATGTGCTTCCCCTGTTCTGCTACTCACAGTGATAAATTCGTTGGGAGTACAGTTAATCAATGGCAACCACGGATGTAGCAATCATGAAATAATGGAGCTCAACCTCCTGAAGGCAGTGAGGAATGCAACTCTAGAGGGAGGAACTGTCACATGAGCAAACTACTATGTAATACATGGGCTGAAATTATCAACTCAAAGGGTAGTAATGGTTAACGGTTCATACTCCAGCTGAAGGTCAGCTAGAAGCAGAGCACTCCTACACAGACTAGAGACCAGGCTGACAGGAGCTTCCTGGAACTCAGTAAAACATCCCACACATATAGCATGGCCTAAACCCCTGTAGTGGTACAGGCTAGGGACTGGCTACCTGGCCAAGTATCGGATGCCCTGGTGAGCTAAATATAAGCCAGAAGCACATCTTGGCAGTGATGAAGGCCAATAGTATATGATGGCTCTTGAAATAAAAATTAATAATAAAATTGGTATTAGTTTACTTCAAACTGTAGGAGCTGCACTTTATAACTCATTGAAACTACACTGCTAGACATGAAACAAAGATCTGATCCATTTTTTAAATCTTAGGGTTCTTTTTGTGCTGTTAAAAAGTAGTATGTTTAAAAATAATTACTTTTTTATCTTTATGCCAAAATACAGATAATTTTCCATTGAGGAAATTTAATTTTCTAAGCAAATTAACTTACTAAAATAATTTTCTTTACATCAATATTAAGAGTCTACTTCAGACTATTTAACTGTCATAAAAAATCCTATTAATGTATCTGAGAGAAAGAGATGCACTCACTTCAGCACAGGCTTTTAAGCAGGTCTTCTTAAAGCCTAAGAGTTCCAAAACATCCTTTCTAGATGGATCTGCCTCATATGTCTTCTGTATTATATGCCTTAAGACAACAGAAAGCCCAGCTCGACAGAACTTGCCATCTTTCACAACAACAGCAGGTAAACAGCAGCTCTGAACAACCACTGGAAGCTGACATCTGGAGATTACATGGGCCTCAAGATCACCAAGGAGGTTTTTTGTCATAAACTGATCATCCACATTTTCACCAGTTGGCACTAAGAAAACTTTGAATAATTTGCAGTCACAGTAGGATAGCAAGAACAGTGAAATAGATGTATGAAGAGGAAAGATACTATCTTTGTCCTGATGAGAAAAACCCAAATACAAATGCTCCTCAGCAACACTTTCTTTCATCTTCCTCCTGAGCTGAAGCTCCTGAAATAGAAATCAGAACACAACATTGATAAAAGAATACAAAACAGAAAAAAACAGCATCTGAAACACTGGTTCTTTCACTCCCTGGTAAAACTGATTTTACTATAAGACATTGTTAAAGACATCCTGCCTGAAAAAGTGGACTGCAGGCACTTCTTGAGAGTAGAGAATAATTTCATATATACACTGTCTCTTCACATATAAATCACTGTTAGAGTAATGATCTGTGTATTTTTTTTTACATTTTAATGTATTTCTGACATTTAACAAAACACATAAAACTAAAATAAAGTATTTAATTTTATCTTAAAGCAAGGTGTGTTTTCTTTCAAATCAAATCTTTCGGAATATTAACCATATGTTATTGAAAAAAGTTTCTGAGCACATAACTACAACAGCCAGTTTTCTAATACATACATTTATCTTTCTGTAATTATTTATTTTATATATATTTATGGTGTTTAGGCCATAATATTGGTTTCTGCCTTAAAATTAGTCTAGAGCCTGGTAAGATACTAACTGAAGGCCAAGAGGACATATGACAAGAAAAAACATGTTCATTTCAAGAATGCTACATGAACACCTCAAACACAAATCTAATGTAAGTAACAGTAACATAGATGAAATTAATGTCTTCTCATTAAAAAAATATATCTTATTAAACTATTCCATATCAATGTCATATGAAACAATAATTAATATTTTTTTTTGCTCCACACTCAAAATTATCCATTAACTTAAACACCACAACTCGAATTTAAAAGCTTTAGACACTAGATGGCACTCTTAAAACAATCATTATAGAAGAAAGTTTTATTATAGGAAGAAATCTCAATGTTGCTAGGAAAGACAGGATATTTTAAATACACATAAATCTGTAAGTCACAAGTGACATTGCACCAGTGTTTCAAATAACTATCTAGATTAATAAGGTCTCTGTTCATCTACATGAATATAATGTATTTTTTTTTTAAGTGAAAAAGTTTTTAATTTTCTATTTCTAGAATACTGAATTATTTTTCCATGTAGATGTGTACATCAAATTTACTGTTTTATATTACCTACCACTGGGCCACTGTCCAAAATCAGGCAGTGGAAGAACAGAATCAAGCTCACCTGCCACTTAGTAAAGGTCATAACACTGATCGTTACAGTGAAGTATTTTTAAACCCCATCTTTTCCTGGCCACTCCAGCCACTCAAAATTATACATTCACCTTACAAATAACTTCACTGATTTTTTTTCTTCTGGTTGACAGTGCTATTTTGGTCATCATCATACTGTATAAAACTTCTAAACATTTTGGTAGATTCTGAAGAGGTTTCTATTTCCAAAGTATATTATGCTGTAGTTACCATCTGTTAATCACCTTCTCTTATAAATTATTCCAAATCCATCACTCAGGACTGCACAAGTAAAACACTAACCTTTTCACCACACAGGTACTCTCAATAGGTACACTGACCCTTGCCCACTTTATTCTAGAGCAGTACCTCTGAAGCACTGATTCCCCACAGAGGATAATAACTCATCAGACTAAAAATAAAAATACTTGAAAGATGCCCAAATAGAGGTACTCCTTAATCAGCCTGCTGATTAAAATGGTCTGCTATGAAAACTGGCAGATGAAAGGGTGAACACTGTCAATGTGAATTCTCCTCCAGTATGTTGGATAAAATTACTTCTACCCCATAGCAATGAGTAATAAGACAGCAGCCGTCAGTCAGTCCTAGAGAAAGTAACTGAATGGAAATAATGACTTGATAGTTACTGGTCTACTCCTTATTCAACCCAGTGAATGCTGCAGCTGACACTGTCCTATTAATCCACCTGTATTCTTGAAGTTTGAAATTTGACTTGAAATTTGTCTGGTCAAATTCAACTATTCTTATCCTCAGGTACATACATTACACACAGAAATCATGCAAACCAGATAAACCAAGACTAGGATAAGCCACCCAGTTCATTCTATTGACAGTGTCAGAAAATGGGAATATGCATGTAGCCTGCTTCATTTAGTTCATGGTATCTTAAGTCACTTCCCTCAACCATTTTAGGCGAGATTCCAGATTTTGTAATGAAGCCAAGGTTATACTCAGGAAAGGTCTGTTCTTCTAAATGCCTTTAAGAGAGAACCCCTGGGAGACAGGTGCACCAGACAGCTTGAGGATGGTTACTAACTTCAAAACTCAAAGTAATTTTTTGTAAACATACACAATAATTTACCACTACTTAGCTGCAAAGTGGTGAACTATATCAGAGACAAAATTATTTCTCTCAACCTAAATGAACTTCTGTAAATACAGAAAGAACAGGGAAACTGTGACATTCATGATCTACTTATACAGCAGCACTGTGCTCAAGCTGTAAAATCAGAACATTTTGTAGAATGTTCGGGAAGGAAGAGGAGGAAGGAAAGGCCAATAATTTTCTTCCCCCTCAGCCACAGAAGTAAATTAAGGTATTTCAGCATGTAGTTGCAAAAGTAACATGTAAAGGACATGGCAGAAATGTGCAACTGCAAGTGAAAGGGAGCCCTATAGCAGCAGGTGCTTAGGGGCAGGATTTAATGGTGGATTTGGCAGTGCTAGGTTAACAGCTAGACTTGATGATCTTAAAGGTCTTTTCCAACCAAAAGGGTTCTGTGATTATATCAAAAACCTTTTTGCCACAAAAAACCAAACAACACCACCACCACCCAAAAGAACAAACCAAAACCTAAACCAACCCAACAAAAAAAAAACACCAACCAACCATCTTTCAGTGGTGACCTCAAAAGTTTATATAGAAAATTTTCTTCTTCAGCCTCAGACAGCAACCAACATAAAGGCACCTGCAATGTTCAACAGGCCTGTATCTTTAATTACAGGGTAACCATTCAAATAGGATTTTCCTCTTTTCTCATTCAACATTTGTTTCTAGAATTACTAGGATGTGAGCACCACTAGCAAAATATTGTAACTGAGATTTTAGAGACTGATAAAATGCAGGTGAGCTACTACTAGAAACAAGACTTTTGTCCTGGACACAAGCTTTGCCATTACACACCTAACTGCAAGAACTGCATTCAATACTCCTTTCAGAAAGAACTAGAATTGACATTTGACCTAATTCACACTGGCAATTCAACTCCATGCATGCCACAGATCCCTATCTCACATTTGACTAGATTGCCATAATAATTCTTCACAACTGGAAGCATTAAATCTTCCTCTTCTGCCCCTCTACTCTGCTCTCATGGGAGTTTCCTGCTCATGGAAACTGTGGATGCCCCCTCCCTGGAAGTGTTCAAGGCCAGGTTGGATGGGGCTTTAAGCAACCTGGTCTCGTGGAAGGTATCCCTGCCCATGCAGGGAGGTTGGAACTAGATAATCTTTAAGGTCCCTTCCAACCCAAACCATTCTATGATTCTATGATTCTTCCTTTGCTGCAAAGATATATGAAAAAATAGTGATCTGACATATTGTTAACTAGTATTTTCCCTTTGCCTTTTATCTGAATTTAAATTTTGCTATTCTACTTCTTTAGAGAGAAGTTAGCAATTTCTCAGCAGGTGGGAAAAGAAGAGGAAATATTAACTCTGGGGATGTTTACAGTGACCTACCTTCAGACTACAAGGCAGAAAGAAGCTAGCAACACAGAACTCCACTCTGGTTTTTGCATTGAGCTTTTCAACCTCAACAGAATTACCCTAATACTTTAATTCCCAGAAAAACTTTTTAAAATACTTTTACCAAAACATGCTTCTGTAATGACTGCAACTCATTACGTATTTATTTCACCACAACAGCAAAGCAGTAAGTCTGGATTTATATTGCTAACTACTGTAAAGGCTTCTGTGTCCCTTCATAACAACACTGGATGACTCTCAGTCTCTCTTCCCTAAAACCTTGCAAGGTGGAAGTTTCCTATGTTCTCATTATACATTTGAAAAAGCTGAAGCACAAGGAGAATGTTTAGCTTATCATCACAAAGGAAGTCTATCCTAGACCAATCCTAAAAAACAAGACATTTTTTAAGGATTTTGCTCTCTGGTTGGTTCTAGGGTTATTTTTAAGTGCAGGCTATGAATATAATGTAAATGTATGACCAGGCTAATTTTGTTCCCTAGTTTCTCACAGAAGAGAAACTAAAATAAACCTATCAGGAGTTCTGTCTATTCATGATTTTGTCTGTGTTTCCTTATTGTTGCCTGAGAGAAAATAAGGTCTTCTTGCACTGTCACTTCAACTGGACTGTGTGTAGACTCAATCATACACTGCCATATCCCATCCCTCTCCCATTTCAGAGAACTCCTCCAAACATCTTGTCTCTAAGCACAGATATTTATAAAAATTAATTTACTTTTTTTTTTTTTTTATTGCTTTGTTTCTAAGGTAGTGTTTTTCTGCATATTTTGGCTCTGCAGAGTACATCCTCCTCGTGGATTTATGCACAGCCTTTCCTCTGAAAGGCTTAACAGACTACCTGGTTGCCTGTTCTCACATAACTACTACCCTTCCACTAAATGTGATAAATTTATGACCCTTGGTAGATTACTAAGACAAAAGCAAACACAGACATACACAAAACAAAACATGGAACATAGAACTAACAAATAAAAAAGTAAAACATGATCTTCCTTTTAGTTCCTAAAAAACAACTGATGCTTTTTTTTTTTTAATTACTACATGGTAAAACAGAACTTTTGTAACAGACATTAACATTTGAGATATTAAACATAACAAGTAAGTTTTAGAAGTAGTCTTCCTTCAGCAAATCATAGAATGTCTTGGGTTGAAAGGAACCTCTCAAGATCATCCAGTCCAGCCCCCCTACAATAAGCAGGGGCAACTCATACTAGAACAGAGTACTCAGAGCCCCATCAAGCCTGACCTTGAATGTGTCCAGGGATGAGGCCTCCACCACCTCTCAAAGCAACCCACTCCAGTGATCCAGCAGCCTCATAGTACAGAACTTTTTCCTAATGTCTGACCTAAATCCACCCTTCTCTAG